AGACAGGGTCCCATGGAGCTCTGGCTGACTCCTAACTTGCTGTGTGTCAAGGATGACCTTAAACGTGTGCTCCTCTGCAGCCACCACCCGTGTTTTGAGACTGAAGCATGCACCAGGTTTGCCAGATTTATGCAGCACTGGGGACTGAGCCCATAGCTTTCTGCATGCCTTGCTTCTTATCTTTCCTTCTTCCACAGATGTCTGTTATGCAAAGCTCTGTGATGCTGGGCTGTGGAAGCCATCTTGAATCCAGGAGGACAGCGGAGGAGAGAGGAGAGAAGAGCCTGTGATTGGTGCCATCTGAGCTGTTGAGCTGCAAACCAGTTCTGAACTTCCTGCATGGAGGTTCTAGTTCTATGATATGATTAAATGCCCTCATCATTCAAGCCACACACCAAGTTGTGGGTTTATTTTTATCTTATCTATGTTTTAAGATCTGTTTTTCATTGTATGCGTATGTATGTATGTACATATGCATACGTGCTCCTGTTTATGACAGCCAGAAAGCATCAGATCCTGGGAGCTGGAGTTACAGGTGGTTGTGAGCTGCCCCATGACTTGAATGCTGGGAACCACTCTAGGGTCCTCTGCAAAAGCAGCAAATGCTCTTAATTCCCGAGCCGCCTCTCTAACCACCTGTCTGTCGTTTGTTTTTTCACTTGCAACCAAATGCACTTGAACTGACACAGTATCACGGTGTCTAGAGCATGGTGGAAAAAAAAATCTCATGAGCAAATCCATCAGTTGACAAGTGTGTTCTCATTACAATTCGGAGACTACAATCCTTTAAAAAGAAAGCACACGGAGTATCTCTGACTTGTTTACTGACGTATTTCTTTTTATGATGTGCTGCCATGCTAAGTCCTTGACTTCCAGAAAGAAGCCGCAAGCCCCCAGATAGCTGAGCGGTCTCAGTTGTTTTCGATGTTCACCAGGTGGAGGGGATGTTTATGGCTGACTTGAGTAGCTCAAAGCTAATTATCGAGTCTAAGTGCTAACTGCTTCTTCTCGGCTGGTTAGCTTCCTCTGCCCAGTCCTCACTGCAGTGCACACCAGCTGGGGGCCAGGAGCCATCTGTTGAGTTTCAAGCCAGCTGAATGGAAGCTGCCCACTGAGAGTGATGGGGCCTGGGGAGATTGCTCAGTCAGTCAAATGCTAGCCTAACAAGCATGAAGACCTGAGTTTAATCCCCAGAATCCACATAAAAACCCAAGCGTGGCAGTGCATTCCTGTGATCCCAGCACAACAGAGCAAGAGACAGACAGGATGTCTGGGCCTGCTGGTCAACTAGCCTACTCTACTGGGTAAGTCCCAGATTAGTGAAAGACCCTTTCATAAAAACACACACACACACACACACACACACACACACACACACACACACACACACACACAAACAAACCAACAAAACCAAGGTGGATGACACCTGAGGAATGATATCCTATGGATTTCATATGCTCTGATACACATGTACACACATGTATGCACATCTGGACACACACACAGAGATGAAGAGACAGAGATAAAGATTCAAAGTCACAAAGAGAGAAACATGGGACAATTTGTTTCTGGGGGAACTTCTCAGCTAAGTTCCCATAGCTATAGAATTAAGAGGGCCCTGGAGGACACTTAAGTGCCTCAGAACCCTCAAAGTGGGTGGCAGGTCTCAGGGAGCACCAGTGGAAACAGGTGCCTGTGGGAAGCAGGTTGTGTAGTTCCATAGGCTGGTCATTAAGACTCACACCTATCCCAACGGAATCACCCAGATCCCAACGGAAGTGTGGCCTCTCAAGGCTGTGCTACCTCTCCTCTGACACCAGGACTCTGCCCACTTAGATTTCTGCCTCCACCTTCAAACCAGGCCAAGACAACTTGAGGAATGGTTAAACTCATGAACATTCTAGAACAACAGCTTACCCAGACAGTGTGGCTGTTCTCCTTTTGTCTTCTCAGAGTTATGGTCACATGCTTGTCTTATGGGGGTGTCTCTGGAAGGGATTTCTCTCCCTTATTCATAGGGTTATGTCTCTCTGTCCATCTGTACCACGTTTCCCTGATGGGAACCTCAGCTAGGACCTATCCAGGCCTTGCTCATGGCCAAGCTCTTCCTGTCTCCAGACAAAGTCAGAGGGAGCTCATTGCATGGCCACTAGGGGGAGGCACAGCCAAGGTCTTAGCCTCAGGTCTTTTCTCTGCTATGTCAACCCCTCCTCAGCATGTCCCTCACACACCAGCAAGTTCCTCACTCCATCTTCCCTTCCCTACCTACCCATCTCATTTCTCATCTTTAGCTTTCTGCTTTCGCCATCTTACCAAACAATCAAGTGGAAACTTCTATTCTCCTCCCCTTAAGATAGAATGACCTGGTGGCAAACGGTCCCTCTCTTCTATGTTTGCGCATTATCTTTATACTAATTGTTAACAAAACAACCACTTCCTCCAGATTTGGCTGGGGACAAGGCCACCTTTGAATGGCCGTCTGCTAGGGCAGGGAATCAGACTGAACACAAGGCCCCTGGCTCCTGAGGACCCCACAGAGGTATCGGTACCGGGGGCTGCCCGAATTATGAGCAGCCAGAGAAGCCATCACCTGCAGCTGATTAATAACACAGCCTGTGCCCAGACACAGTGAGGATTTGTGATTGGCATGGAAAGAAAGGCTAGTAATAAAGAGAAGCAATTGGACAGCACGTTGTGGAGAGTAAGTTTTAAAGGGAATACTATGTGAAAGCTGAGCTCACTCCCTTTCCCTTCAAGTCAGGCTGCCTGGGAGAGCTGGCCATTTGGCTCGGATTTCTTTAGATAATGGAATACTTAGAACAAGGGAGTAGCTAGTGTTCTTTACAAAATGTCAGGGCTCCCACTCAGGTGCCTCCCGAGGCAGCAGTGACAAGTGGAAACGCCTGGGGAGGCAACCCGGCAGAAAGCACCAGCACTTCTGAAAATATAAACATTTCCGACACTGAGATCCTACTTCTGGGAATAAGCCTGAAGGAATAATCCTGAATGGGGGAAAAAAGAAACATAAAAATGTTCATTGCCATACTATTCTGTAACAGGGAAACACGAGAACCAAATTAATTATTCAAAAATAAGAGGATGATTAATTAAATCCCACTAAATTCCCTTGATAAAATAATTGTGTAGTCATGAAAATTTTAATTATAGAAATTACAGCGATGTAGGAACATAATGATATGAAATTTTATGCATTTATTGCAGTGCCCTAAGATACATATTCCTTATATAACCAAAGGATATAAGGAAACAGAAAATATGACCAGTTGTGTTAAGGTGGAATTATTGATGTTTTAACTTCCTTCTTCAGTTAAGAGGTACTAAAAACTTTTCTATTCTTTAAGATTTATTTATTTTTATTTTATGTGTATGCGTGTGCATCTACATGTTTGTATGTGTATTGCATGCGTGCAATGTTTGTGGAGGCCAGAAGAGAGCATTAGATCCCCTTGCAGTTGGAGTTATAGAAGGTTGTGAACCACCATGTGGGTGCTAGGAGCCAAACCCAGACCTACTGCAAGAGCAGCTAGTGCTCTTAACCTCTGAGCTATATTTCCAGTGCTCCCCAACTCAATCTTTAAAAATATACACAAAGAATACACAGGATGCAAATGCTCTAAGGGCAGATAAGAAACAGGGCAAGAATGAACATTTGCCAAGGGTCTGTATTGTTTAAGCGACTGGGCTAGTTATAATTTTACATATGTTTGCTAACACAATTTTCATCTGTCTCCTAACTGGTGTTTCTTTTAATTTTTATGCAATGTGGAAAGTGAGGCTGAGAGATGCTGACTGAAGATAAATAGGAGGTAGAAGGGGTCAGATAAACCTTTAGTGTGATTTGGAGTTTGTCCAGCAGCTGGACAAATAAGGACCCCCCAGGAATTAGAGGGTCTGTTCCACCCCTGTTGTACAGGACTATTCCTCAAGCCAAACATCTGTCTGCGTGCTCAGCTGTGACCAACTGGGACATACTCCAGCCGGGCTTGTTGACTGCTCCTCTCAAGGAGGGATGGGAAGGGTCACAAGACCCTCACCAGAGTATGCGTCCCCTCCCTACCACCTGCTGTATGCAATGCTGCCTTAACTATGTGAGGCTTCAGGAGGGGCTAGAGTATACAGCTGGGGAGGGGGCTAAGGGAGGAGACTCCATCCATGAAGCCATGAGGAAGCCACCATACCTCCTGGATAAAGACTTTCTGGTGAGACCTTTTGGGGAGGAGCAACCACATCCCTTACCTATGCTCTATAAGTAGGACCAGTGAACTCATCGGTTCCCCAGGGTGAACTTTGGTACAATTGTGCCCTGGTTTGCCACTGGACCTTAGTGGGAGGGGTAGACATTGTTTATGTTTCCCTAAAGGGATTTGAACCACTCTCCTGATGAGAGTGGAGGAATCAGGAACATTAGGGTGCACACAGTGACTGACAACACCGGGCAGGGCATGGTTCGTGTTAAGCTTTCCCGGCAATGACATGTTCTGAACTGCAGCTCTAAAAAAGTGTGCATGTTATGGGCAGCACTGTGCTGTCCTCTCACCCCAACAAGTTATGTTGACATGTGGCTGCATTTGGAGGAAGTTTAACGAGGTGACCGAAGTTAAACGAGGTCACGAGTTTGTGTGTAGCCATAATAGAACAGGGTTCTTACTGGGCTACAAAATGCTAATATGAAGAGGAAAACCACCGGCGAACCCCTCTTTCTGTGAATACACAGAGGAAGAGTGCCGTGAGGACACAGTGAGAAGATAACAGAGGCTGGTGTGGTGGCCCAGCCTTTGATCCCAGCACCTGAGGCAGAGGGAGGCAGATCTCTGAGTCAGAGGCAGCTAGGTCTGCATAGTGAGTTCCAGGTCAGCCAGGGCTATGAAGACAGACCCTGTCTCAAAGGCAAAACACAATTAACAAGGCAGCTGCCTGCAAGCTAAGAAGGCAGCCCTCACCAGGAATTAAGTTCTTCCCACCTTGACCCTAGACTTGAATGTCCGACACTTGAGGAAGTAAATGTCTGTTTGTTTAAGACACTCTGACTGTGGTGTTTGTGATGACGGCCTGACTGGAGTGGCGTGGGAGAGTTAAGTAGCTGAAATGGTAAAACTGTAATGTGTGGAATGGTTCATGGCTGTGGATGGTTAAACATCCCTGTAAAACCAATCATAAAATGAATCATGACGTTAGCTAAATGTGCTGGGCACTTAAGTGGCAGGAAATACCATTACTTTATGGGCACCAACTCATTTACTTTTCTCTTGGTCCTAGCAGATAAGCCTATGACTTCATCCTCGTCCCTGTGAAGGCACCGGGGTGCAGAGAGGTGAAGATAAAGACCACAAAGCTAATCACAGAGGCGGGGTGGAAGCATGCCCTTGGGGTACAGTTTCCATGCCCGAAACACTATGGACTGGGTTGGACTATGGAGAATGCTATGAACTAGGAGCAAAAATGGAGGGAAAAGTGTTCTGCAGACTGATCAGCTAGATCAGTTCGTTAAATCTGGGTGACCAGTGAGTGACAGAAGACGTTGATTTCATTGCCTTTCAGTTGCAGGGAAAGGAAAACTGATGGTGTGAGTCTTGATGAGGTTGAAAGAAAGATGCTGCAAAATCAAGAATAGGACATTGGGCCAAGGCTCATGTTACCTTCAAGCTACCTCCACTTGAGAGGGTATGGCATGGCAGAAGCCTCCTTATAACAGGTGCAATCTGGGAAGGGTGCCACAGAGATTTACTGGACTCACTGTGACACTCAGGACTGGTTTTCTCTCCTGACACAGAGGCAACTTTTGTCTCTCCTTCAGCTTCTAAAATTTGTATGAAGGCACAGAATATCAGTGCTGGGGGTGTCATGTTACCTGATTTTAAAAACACAACAGACATAGTGATCAAAATAACAAGTTAAGGGTAAAAACCAGACATACAACCTGAAGAACAGAATAGGAAGTTCAGGAATGAATCTGTATACTGCGGTCAATTCACCTTCAACAAAAGTGCCGGGAAGCACACAATGAGAAAGAGTAGCATCTTTAATCAATGGGGCTGAGAAAAATGGATATTCATAGGCAGAAGACTGAATCTGGATTCTATCTCACACCTGTTAAACACTAACCTCATGGGTATTGCAACAAAGATGTAAAAATATGATCTCAAACTGTAAAAGCACTAGAAGAAAATGAAATCAGAAGTTTCTTGGCACTGATCTTAGAAATCTTTTGGCTATAACCTTGTGAGAGTTAGCATTCCATTATTGTGGTGTGGTGTAGCGCCCAAGAAAATCACCTTTGCAAAATGGAAAGGTCCATTCTGACTCATGGTTTTGGAGCTTTAAGTTCATATTGCTTTGGGGCCTACAGTGAGGCTTTGTTTTATGCAGGGAGAGCATCGGTAGGCAGAGGGAGTAACTCATTTCTTTATGGTTAAGAAGAGTAAGATAAGACAGAGACAGAGGTAGACTTAGAGAAAGGGAGAGAGAGAGAGAGAGAGAGAGAGAGAGAGAGAGAGAGAGAGAGAGACCAGATGCCAGAGTCTCAATATGTACCCTAACAGAATGTCCCAATAACTTAACTGCCTTCCACCTCATCACCTGCCAATAATGCCAATGTTCAAGACCCAACTATCAACATGGCTTTGGGGAATATTAAAGTTTCAAACTACAGCAGACCCTGAAAGCAAATATAAGAATTGGAGACATAGAGGCTTGGCTCTTGCCCAGCATTCTCGAGATCCTAGAGTCACTCTCCAGCACTGGAGAACCCTCACAGACAAACTCCAACCACCACCACCAACATGATGCGGCAAACAGAGGTACATGGAATGGCACCAAACCAAAATTTCCATGCAGGAAATGAAAGAATCAATGGAGAAAGAGGAGATGCTTGCAAACCATGCATTTGACAAGGGGTTAATAACCAACGTCTGCAGAAGACTCACAAAGAAACAAGCTAATTTAAAGCTGTGGTGGAAGGTTTTCAGAGGTCATGCAAGATGCTGGGATCTGGAGAAACTGCGAATGAGGGTTTCCTCTTCTGCACATCCTGACTGACACTTGTCATCTGTGTCTCTTTGACGACAGCCTTCCTCACAGGATCGTGAGCTGATGTCTCATTGTAGTTTTGATTTTCGTTTTTCTGATGATTAGTGACATAGTCAGCACTACATAGTTTTCAAGCTCTCACACAACACATACACACACACACACACACACACACACACACACACACACACCTCCAAATAGTCCCACTGTTAAGAAAAAAAAAGGATGAGAAGCTACCATCTAGCTCTACCTCCTACTGTCACGGGTCAGGTCACCCCATGGTGTGTGACTCCACTCTGTTTTTGTGCTGTCACCTGCCTGTGGTGGCAGCAGCAATGGCAGGTCCCAATGACTTCGGTGAGATCTTTTCCACAGAGAAAAAGTGTTTGACATTATCTACTTAGAGTTCTGCGCAGCAAGATAAAAAAGCCTGATGAATGGGGACAACTGTCCCATGGCTGTAATGAATGTTTGATAGAATTCAGTGAATGAGTGGATGAGAGCATGTTTATTAAAAGGACGCAGCATGAATGGGGCCGTGTTTTAATTCTCAAAATGTCACTTTGGAGAGCAGATCCATCAGGGTAGAAGAGCTGACTGTGGAACCGGGATTTTATTATTTTCCACTCTAGGGAAATTGACTATGAAAAAAAATGGGTCAAATCCCTTTAATTTATATCGGGTTTACACCATGCTTTGTAGAACAGATTGCTGTGCTAATGAAGCCGGGTGAATTCTTGTGAGAACTGCTTGCTTTTATTAGCAGGCACTTATTAATCAAAAGGCTTTCTGTACATCCAATCAGCCATAAAAGCCGCCCTCAGGATGAAGCCTCTTTTATAGCCTTCCCAGTTCAGAGGTGAAGAAATTGACTCCAGGTCTCCCAGGCATAGGGAAGAGGATGGTTTTCTTAACTACTGTGTAGGATCTTTTGATTTGAAGACTTGGTGCTAGAAAGGCATGATGATTAAGATACTAACATTGTCTTAAAGATACAATTCATGCCCTTCTGCCCTTTTTATTAGCCGTTTCATTCCAGTTATGTGGAGTCTGAGTCCCTTTAGGAAAGGGACTCTGGTGTGGCCTATTAGTGTTCAGCTCTCATAGTTTTTGCATGTCTAGGCAGCATCCGTGAACCCGACCTTGGCTTCTCTGCCGCATTCCAGAGGGTGCTTCCCCGACCAGTAAACCTGTAGAAAGTGAGCAGGGTGAAGGGACTGAGCTCTTCCTGTCGCTGTCACAGCACTTACCAGCTCTGGCTCTCCACTCCGAGTGTTTTTCTTGCATTTATCATTAAGTTCAGGCTAGTCTGACTCCTGACTGCCAGCGTCAGCATTTCTTGAATCAAGGGCTTTTCCTGGGCAAGCTACATGGCCAACCACGCCCCTACGATTGACTTCCCTCTGGCCTTCAGTCTCCCCTTCCCCTAGTGGTATTTTCTGGAAATCCTTCCCCTCAAAATACTTGATGACAATTCTCCCCTGAGGATTGGCTTCTGCTGGAGATCAAATTAAGGCAGCCTCCAGAATTGCAAGGCCAATAGAAGTTGGATATGAGACAGGCATTTTTCGTTGCCTCTGGGCCCTGTTCTGTTTTGCTGTGATAAAACACTGACCAAAAGTTTGGGGAGGCTTATAGGTTATAGTCCATCATAGGGGGAAGCCAAGGTAGGAACTCAAAGCAGGAACCAGAGGCAGGAAATGAAGCAAAATTTACTTTACTTGCTTGCTCCCCCTGACTAACTCAGCTAGATTTCTTCTACAGTGCAGGCCCACCTGCCTAGGGATAGCACTGCCCACAGCAGACTGGTCCCGACTCCATCAGTTAGCAAGAAAGCCAGTCTGACTGAGGCAATTCTTCAGCTGAGGTTCCCAGGTGACTCTAGGTTTGTGTTACTGTCTGGGCTACTGTTTTGTTGGTGTGAAGAGACACCTAACCAAGACAGCTCTCATAAAATAAAGCACTTAATTGGATGTTTTAGATAGTTAGTTCATAACCATCATGGTGGGAAGTAGACAGGCTTGGGACTGAGAGCTTTACAGCCTGATCTGCAGGCAGCAGGCGGTGTGTGTGTGTGTGTGTGTGTGTGTGTGTGTTTGTGTGTGTGTGTGTGTGTGTGTGTGAGAGAGAGAGAGAGAGAGAGAGAGAGAGAGAGAGAGAGAGAGAGAGAGAGAGAACACTCTAGGCCTAGTGCTTTCTTTTGCAACCTCCAAGCCCACCCCCCAGTGACACATCTCCTCCAACAAGGCCACACCTTCTAATCCTTCCCAACAGTTCTCCCTGGTGATCAAACATTCAAATAGTGAGCCTTTGGGAACCATTCTTATTCAAACCACCACATCATGTTGACAGGCCCTGGTGATAGAGTCTTCTTTTACATGAGTTCCTTCCACACTTGCCATATGGCTTTGATTTGCCCAGAGCTGCAGGGAATCTGGGCATTCTGGTCCTCATTAGTTCCCTACAATCTTTCAAGTATTTTGTTCTTAATATGTAGCAGATTTTTAAAAGACATAAAATTTAATTAATGTATTAGAGTTCATGAGAGATGCTGAATTTTAATGAGTTAATACCCCCTCGTTCTTTTCTCTGGTGGGTGAGAACATCTTAGCATTGGGTGAAATCCTATACATTTTGATATGTCTTGAAAATGTGAAAGCACCTAGGTCTCCAGACTAAAAAGGATGGTGGCTATACATATTTAAAAAATGGCCTGGAGGGATTGCTCTGTGGTTAAGAGTGCTTGCTGTTCTTAAAGAGGACCTGCGTTTGATTCCCTGCACCCATACTAGGTGACTCACAACCACCTGTATTTGTAGTTCCAGGGGGATCCAACATCCTGTTTGACCTGTTTGGCCTTTTATCACAACTGTTTCTCAACACTGTCTTGGATAGTTCTCTTGAATTGCTCTAACTTTAGTGTATGAAGACAGATTTTTCTGCAGTGGTGCCTGTAGAAGTAGTATGAAAGGCAAGGACATGTGCTGGGGGGTTGGATGCTTGAGATAGGACAGCCATAATCTTGTGACATATTTGCAGGTGCTTTTGGAAGATTATCGGAAAACCACTGAAGTGTTAAAGAAATGTATAGTAAAGCATGGATGCCAGCTCTTAATGCAAATTGTAAACTGTGTCCTGCTGGAGACAGATGCTTGCTGCCCCTCTCAAATGCTGAACATTCAAGAACTGCACTTCCCCAGAAACCATGGAACTGGGTGCCGTCTGTTGCCTGTGTTCTAGCCTATTCGGCAATAATGGAAGCGATGTAAGACTTTCCTAGGCCCACAAAACCCTCCCATGCAGAAATACACCATGATACTTACTCCTTTTAGCCGTCTCATAGAGGCAGTGCCCCAGTGACTGCGTGGCTAAGTGTTGTTGAAAACAGCCAAAGCCAACTATTACCAATTTTGAGTCTGGGAAAGACCTAGATAAACTGCATTCAGCCCATCTGTTAATAACCCGCTACTGTTAAGTGAATAAGAAATAAATTTCTGTTGTGTTTGACCCACCATATGTCTTGGGGTCTATTTGCTAACAGTAGTAAGCCTCTGCACCTATGTTGCATCTCAGGTGACTTTGATCTTTCTCACTCTATTGCAGCTATTCAGTCTAGTCTAGTCTGTGTGTAGAGAGGAAATAGTTAAAGACTACAAATGAATGGCTCAGATTGCGTTTCTATAAAGCTTTGCTTACCGGACTACGCTGCTGTTGATATTTGGCCCCACAGAGCTTTGGATCCTTCTTCTCCCATTTTCCCTGTTACATCTTCCTTTAGGGTATCACTACCTTCTTTTGAGTATCCACTATCATAGTTTATACTATATTGAAGCTGTCCAAGAAAAAAAAGATCTTTTCCATCGTGTTTCCTGCTTTATCTCCCATGTGTAGCACAATGGCTAGTTTGTGACAGCCCCTTGATAAATATATATAAAATAAATGATTGTAAGGGTTTGGTGTGTCACCCACCACCACAATAATCATTAATTTCATATTGCATTTCTGCAAAAAACAAAAAAGCGGTAATCTATCCAGAATCCTAACATGTTCATTAATTTTGACCTTTTCCAATTTCTTATAAACAAAAACACAAACAGCTTTGCATCTCATTATTTATAATAATGAAACTGCAAAAATAAACTGAGATGGTGTGACAGTTATGCAAACTAGGACCCATATAACTAGATAGAATTACTTTGAAATCAAGAATTCTTAGAACACTTGTATTGACTATTTTAATGGAAAGAAACAGACATGAAACCACATATAGTATGTGTGCATGTATATGTGTGTACATGTAAATATGTGTGTATACATAGATGTGTGCTTGTATTCCTGCCTGCGTATATGTGTGTGCATTATGTGTGTTTGTGTCTCTCTGTATATATATATATGTGGGGATGTCTTCATATGTGTGTGCATGCATGTTTGTGTCTCTCTGTGTGTAAATATACGTGGATGTATGTGTTTGCATGTTTGTGTCTCTTAGTGTGTGTACATGTATGTACATATGTATGTGTGTGTGTCTCTCTGTGTATGTGTGGATGTCTCTGTGCATCTGTGTGTGATTATGTGTGTTTATATCTTTTGAATATATATATGTCTGTCTCTGTGTGGCATCAAATGATGGGCAGATATTGCAGTGATTTCTTCTGTCTACATTTGATTGACTCTTCATTATGAGTCTCTTAATACAGTAATTTTCAAATTTCCATGTGAAAAGGAAAGAAACCTCTAGTAACACATTACAACTGCTGGGCCCCTGCAAATTTGCTGAGAATGAGAGGGGAGGGTGTTTTCGTAATGATTTTTTTTCATATAGAAACAGTGGTTAGTAGATTCTCTTTGAGAGTTTGTGCTGGCATAGAAGAGAAAGAACACCCTGAATGCCTTCAATTGCTAAGCTTCTTTGGCCGTGTAAGGATGGTGAACAGCTGTGGGTCCTCCTTCCATGTCTCTGTCTCTGTCTCTGTCTCACTCTTTGTTATCTGGGACAGGGTTTCCCTGTGTAGCCCTGGCTCACCTGGAACTCACTCTGTAGACCAAGCTGGTTTAGAATTCAGAGATCTGTTTGCGAATCATTCTTGATTGCTCTTTCACTTATTCAAGGACTCAGAGTCTCAGTCAAACCCAGAGCTGGTCTTGCTAGCCAGCTTGCTCTGGAGACCCCATCTCTATCTTCTGAGGTTGGAATTACTGGTGGACTTCCACAACCCCTGGTGTTTGTGTGGATTTTCAGGGTCTGCCCTCAGGTCCTCATGCTCTGCAGGAAGCACTTAACCACTGAGCCATCCCTAGCTCATTACCAAACAGCCCCTTTCCACACAGGCTACATTTGAACTACTTGGTCTGTATGATAGAAGCAGGAACCATCAGTGCTTCTGTTGGGTAGTGAGCCCTTGAGTAGAGATGGAAGAGAAGGGATAGTATATGGAGGATGTGGGGGGATGGGCCCTGGACATTCGGTGACTGGTGGAAACTCCTCACCATGGACAGTGATACAGAACACCCATTTTTAAGATATTAGCCCCATGCTGTGTGACTGTTCCCACCAGTATTACTCAGTTCTATGTCAGCGTTTTCAGAGGTGGGGATATATGGGAGCATACATTGGATGTGGGGTGATGGCCCTGGTTTCTAGGCTTACATAGGATGTAGGGTGATGGTCCTGACTTCTCGGCTTACATAGGATGAGGGTGATGGTCCTGACTTCTAGGCTTACATAGGATGAGGGTGATGGTCCTGGCTTCTAGGCTTATATAGGATGAGGGTGATGGTCCTGGCTTCTAGGCTTACATAGGATGAGGGGCAATGGTCCTAGTGTCTAGGCTTTGTTGGGGAGCAAAGCATGCTCATTAGAAATACAGAAGTGGAGGTTTAAGCTCAGGGTCAGAGAGATCAGAGAAGACCTAGCTTTCCAAGAGTGGGAGATAAAGCAGGACACAATGCTAGGGAAAAGCAAGTTGCCTAATAAGGCTGGGGAAGATGAGCAAGATCCAATCTTTATGCAGTTGGCTGGGAGAGATTTTGTTTGATACACATCTGTATTAATTCTTGTACTTCTGTAGCTTTGCTTATTTTGTTAGCCTTACATGGAGCAGTGGTAGAGAATGGTAGACATGGAGACTTTGGAACCAAATGTTCTTCATGGAGAATTCGGCTCTGAACAAATCCGACTCTTGTAAGACTCAGTGTTTCCAGATGTAAGATTAAGTAGCTCTTTCCCCATAGGGATGTGGGGGCTGAATGCAGTGGTGATGTCCTTGAGCTTTGTGTGGGAGCAGAGGCAGTGGAGGCACTCAATAAATGCCAGCCATTGCATATTATTCCTATGTCCCTCCCTGCTTTGTTTCTTGTGGTATCGTTCTCATCCTTTAGGCTCAGTTCTAACACCAGCTTTAAAGTTTTCTCCTCTATTTTCACTTCCATTATGTTTGCGTAAGTCCCTCTAAAGTACTCTACAGTAAGATGCTTTTTACTTATTCTTTCATGTCCTCTAACCACCTCACCCCTCGGTTTAGGTAGGGTTGCTTCCATATGTGTGCATGTGGGGCTTTTACTAGATCACGGGCAACTTACCAGTGACTACACCACTGAAGAAAAATGACGTCCCTTTCCCAAGTGGCTCTTCAGTTAGGGGTGGGGCCTCACAAGCAGCTGAATTATTTTTGATGGAATTTTGACTGGCTGGCTAGTGTGCAGGACTTGTGTGGATAAGTACAGCTGTTATGAGTTCATGTGAGCAATAGCCATGTCATCTTCAGAAGGCAGCATCTCCAACCCCCCTCCCCTACATGCTCCAGCTCTAACTTTCTTTATGTCCCCTCTTCTATGATATCCTGTGATGTTCGTACATACAGGCAAAGATATGTACACACAGATAAAAATAAAATAAATTTTAGGAAAAGAACAAAGCCAATGAAAAACTATGCATTTAGGTTTTGTGACTCCAGAGACCCCATTTACTCCTAATTCTTGATCAGCAGCTGGATAGTGGCCCTGGAGATTTTCACGCCTCATTCTGTAGTCAGGATTGGCGACACATGTCATCTGCCAGCTCCGATTAGTTAAGGGCGACTGCTGGAGGACTGTGTGGAGAGGCGCTGCTGCTGACTGCACTTGGCAGCAGCAGTGGGCAGACTCCAGTTCTACGGGGAACAGAGCGTTGGTTGGCCTGTGTCCAGTGGCAGCTGACGCTGTGACAGTGTGGTAGCATACTAGCCATTCTATTTCACCATCAGACACAGCCTCCCCAATTGACATCCTCATCCTAGCGCTGGAGGTTCTGGTAGCAGCTCCCAGAGTGACAGGTACTCACCACTCATCATCCCTGTAGTCATTAGCCTAATCCTGAGGCGACTGAGAGCTGACAGTGGTGTCACAGTGATGAATGGCAGCGTGTGGATGCCCATCCATTCCTTCTTTCTGTCTTTCAAATGTGTCATTTTCTTTGGTTGTGTAGCCACCGATAAGCTGATTTTGCTTCAGTAAATGCCTCCCACCTATGTGCAGGCAAGAAACCTTAAGTTTAGCAGGCCACACACAAAAGAAGGCATCAAAGCAGGAGGGGGACTTATCTGGAAAGGGAAGGTGAGGGAGAAAGGGGCAGAGGGGGATGAGGGTGTACTGGGTGGTCTTGTGTGTCAACTTGACACTAGCTAGAGTTATCATCAAGGAAACGCCTTGATGAGATATAGCTGTAAAGCATTTTTCTCATTTAGTGATCAACTTGGGAGGGCCTAGCCCATGGTGGGTGGGGCTTTCCTGGACTGCTGCTGGTCCTGGGTTCTATAAGAAGGTAGACTGAACAAACCACGAGAAATAAGACAGTAAGCAGCTCCCCACCATGGCCTCTGCATCAGCTCCTGCCTCCAGGATCCTGCCCTGTTTGAGTTCCTGCCCTGACTTCCTTCAATGATGAACAGCAATGCTGAAGTGTAAGTCTGATAAATCCTCTCTTCCTAAACTTGCTTTTTGATTATGGTGTTTCATTGCAGCAATAGAAATCCTAACTAAGATGGGGGGGAAGAAGAGGAGGACTAAGAGGAGAGGAGGAGGAGAGGGAGAAGAGGAGGAGAAGGGGGAAGAGGAGGAGGAGAGGATATGAAAGAGAGGAGGAGAGAAGGGAAAGAGGAGAGGAGAGTGATGTGGGATGTCCCTTTGCACACTGAGTATGTGTTGCTATTATTGGTTGATGAATAAAGATCTTTGGCCTATGACAGGGCAGAATATAGCTAGGTAGAAAATCCAAACAGAGATACAAGGAGAAAAAAGGTGGAGTCAAGGAGAAGTCAGTGAGCCTCCAGAGCAACAAGATGTACTGGAGAACAGGTAACACCATGAAACCACATGGTGATACACAGATTATTAAAAATGGGTTGATTTATATGTAAGAGCTAGCCAGTAATGGCCTGAGCCATCAGCCAAACAGTTGTAATTAATATGAAACCTCTAAATGATTATTTTATAAATGGCTGTGGGTACTGTTGGGCAGCAGAGATACCAATCCAGC